TTAATAAATCCTTCATCTAAAAAAATATACTAAGGCTTATGAATGTAGTAAAGTAAAGGCTTTGTGATTTTTAGGTTTAAAAAAAATATCCATTATAAAATAAGATGAAGGTTTTGAATAGAGTATAAAATCTTTACTAGGTGTTGCAAAAGATTTTAGTGACACAATCTTTATTATAAATGGAAAATTTTATTTTCTAATATAATTTCTTCATGAATAGCCATGCTTCTTATTTTGTAGCTACATTTCTTTTTTGAACAATATTGAGTAGTGTACTTAGGTTCTCTATAATATAAGTACAATCTTTTTTAATGACAATGAATTTTTTTCTTCCTAAGTGAGAAATTTAAAAACTACTTTATTAATCTGCATAGGTTTTGGTCTTGATGAATAATTTTCTAAGAACTTAAGAATTTTTGGTATAACTTGAATTATTCTTCTTCAATAAAATATTTATTTTTAGCATCTTTTAAAAACTTAATTATTATATAAAATGACTTAAATACTATATTATTTCAATAAGTTTAATTTTGGTACTTTTAATAACAAATATTTAAAAAAGTAATTATTAATGACTTAAATAATATATTATTGTTAAAGATTTGTTATTAAAAGTACCAAAATTAAACTCAATAATTAAAATAATCAATTTTAATTACATAAATTATTTCAATATAACTCAATAAAATTAAAATTATATTATAATTAAACTCAATCCTAATCAATTTTTAGAATAATTTTAAGACATCAACTAATAATAATTAAATTGTTTATTTTACTTAAATATTTTTATATATTCCGATCTAAAAATTAACAAAAATAATAAAATTTCTAAAAATGATTAATTTATCAATTCAAATAAAAAAAATCTTAATTTTTTCAATAATTAGTTATCATCCTTCTTTAACCTTAATGTCACTTTACCAACAGCAATAGCTCTTTCTTAAATCATTCACTTGTCTTTTAAATTTTCAAAATTATTACAAATTAAGTTCACTATTTGCTTACAAAAAATTATACTAATTCAACTAGCAGATTTTTTAACATCAAAGAAGCCTTCATTGACCTTTGAAATCCAAATTCTAATATTTTAACTCAATTGAATTTTAATAATCTTTGATCTAATTGTGCAACTAAATTCAAATCCACAAATGCACTTATAGTAAATAAATCTATATTCCTACAAAATTTCATCTATTAGTTTGCTATAATGCTTATAAAATTCTTTAAAAAAATATAAATATTTTTTTATTTTTAAAATCTTAAGTTACCTAAAATAACTTTAATTTTGCAAACCTCTCATAAGGTCAATATCTTTACAAAGTCGATAACTTTAAACCAATGCTCATACAACCTTCATCAAGTTTGCTCTATAATCTTCTTCTTTAATTAACAAAAGAGCCCTATAATTATTGTAGTTGCATAGTTTTGTGCCTTTGGATTTGATTTCAAACAAGTTTCATAATTAATCTTCTTTAAATATTAATATCTTACTTTTTAAGATAATTTTTATTTAAAGATGATAATAATATTATTTTTTTAATCTGCTTTATTTTATCTTATTTATGGCCTTAAAAAGAGAATAAAAAATCTTCTTATAGCATTAACATTAGATATTTTTAATACTTCCCTATTTTTTATCTAGACTTTGCTATTATATTATTCAATTAAGTTTTTCTATAATATAATGCATATTTGCTTTTCAACCAATAGTTGTGTTACAAAATGATACTATTACAATCAAGGCTTTAAAATTTGGCAATATAAATAGTAGTTGGTTGTGATCCATATTTTAAAGATAAGAACTTGATTTTCATTAACTTTTCGTGATCACTGTCTCCAAATGTGACCATAAGCACTTTCAAGAATAAATTTAAATCATATAGGATTTATGAATCACTTTTTGTCAAAGATACAAATTAAAAGAGAACATTCTAAAATATTTATACATTGATAAATCCAACTTGGATAAGTTTGTATAGATATTACAAAGCATATAATCTTAAATAAAACTTAATTTGTTGTAAAAATCCTTGAAATTTTAATCTTATTCTATTTAATTTTATTAATATATTAATCTCTAACTTATTTACATTTATAATAATAAGGATCTTTAGATTTACTTTTAAGATTGATCTATTAACTTTCTTTAATTACACAACTTCTTAGTATAGACATTATACCTCATTATTGACTTTAAAGAAAAATAATATGAAGTGAGACAATCTAATTACTTCTAAAAAAAATATAACAAATTGACATTCTTATCAAATTATGAAAGATATAAATCATAATAAAATTCTAAAGAAGAAATATATTCTTAAGATACCTAAACAAAAAAAATTAAATAAATCAAAGATAAATATAAGATAGAAAGTAGAATGTTTGTTGTCAAATAAAAATATACTAAAGATTCTTGAGCTAAGATAAGAATACAAGAAATTTGTTGAAAAGAGTGAAGAAGACCTTATTCTTGCCTCCATATATATTATCTAATTAAAGAGCTACATGGCAATGTTTCATAGGTCATTTGACACATGTCCAACTTATGAGAGACTTGTCTAACTTTCAAAGCAATTTTCTAATATATGTGCCACATTGTCAACTTGTACAATAAGTGACCAACACCTGCAAAATACATCCAACTTGTAAAACAAGGGATCAATATATGCAATACATGGCCAATTTAATGGCCACATTTTTAACCTATGAATTATCTATAAATACATAAAAAGTCAAATTTATATTTATAAAGCTTTCAAGGAGCTTTTTCACAAGATATTATCAAATTTACTTATTTCTACTTACTTTTACCTAATTCCTCTTATATTTATTAGTATTAGTAATTTTGTAACACCTTCAACATCATTATTAACCTTTTAGTATCAATAGCTATATTTTAAAAAGTTTATTTACTTTCAAAACTTAATCAGATTAAGTTAGCTATTAGAATACAAACAATTGTTACAATCCAACCAATGGATTGCTCAAAATTGCAAAAATTCTTACTAACCTTCAAAATCTAATTTCTAAAACCTTAACTCATTAAAATCTCAAATACTTTTGATTTGACCATTAAATTAAGTTCTATTTTACATCATAAATTTAACACAACTATATTCACAAATCCTCAAAATTTCATCTATAGATATGCTACAAAAGTCACATAATTTATAAATTTGTAATTCTTTTAATTCCACAAAAATTAAAGTTATTAAAAACAACCTTGGCTTTATAAATCTTTCACAAAATTATTGTAAATTCAAATCCTTTCAATTCCTCAAAACCAATACTTGAAGAAACACTATCAAATTTTCTCTTAAACCTTGCTCTTCAATCAACAGAAATCCCCATATTTTTTGTGGGTGCATGGTTTTGTGCCTCAAAGTATGGTTTTGATTCTAATTTACAACCAATCCTTTTAAGGTGTATTAATCTAAAGTTTCTTTAGGAAATTTCTACTCAAATCTATTTTCTACTTTCACCTTAAGATATGTATATATATATATATATATATAATGTTATTTTTGTTAACTTACTTTATTTTGTCTTGTTTATAGTCCTACAAAGTAAGTAGAAACTTTTTTTACTAAAAGACAGCACTAATACTAAATTATTTTTACTATATTTTTAACTTTTATTAATCTTTCTAAAATAACTTACTACTATAGTTTAAAATAAACTCTTCTATAATATAATCCTCTTTGTTTTTTTCTTCATCCAATAGCTGCATTACAATTCAACAAATTATAAAGTCTAATAAGCTTCTAAAAAACTTTTTCTGAAGATATCAACAATATCAATCTACTTCAAGATCAATTCCAAATACCAAAGTTCCTAAAATAACATTCTTTATAAATCAAAAAGATATGTTCCTTTCAAATTTTGAAAAGAGAGGGTTTTCACATCAATTCTATAAGATGATGTGATTGTGAAGCAAAGTGTTTCTACATCAATTCTATAAGATGCTGTAGAAACACTTTGACAGTGGTATTGCTCATTGTTATCTACAACTTTAGATATAGGTGCTTTCGTCATCGCTGAAGGGAATAGTCGTTGGAGTAACAAATGGTAGTGGTGTGCAGGGGCATGACAAGGCACCAGTTCATGTTGAAAGAACACAGTTAATACATATAATTGCACGAAATCTCATGAATTGCCTCATTACCACGCACTCCTTGAAAGTAAATGAAATCGATGCGCCTTTCAAAAGTGCTACACTACAATTTACGTGGGAAGCAACAGACTCGCACCGAAATCGTCACACACTGCAAGGTTTTTATGCTTTGAAATCGTCTGAAGTAACGACCTGAGAGAATTCGCGGTTACGAAGATGTGGGGTGTTTGATGACCTATACACTCCGACAAAATTGGATACGAAGCCATTCCACACCAGAAGGATCTGCTTGTTCAAAGCTTGATGAATTGGAATTCCGTTGGTGCTTGCTGCGTTTCTGTTCTACTTATCATTTGGCGCAATGGGGGCGCTCCAAAATCACATCTTTCCACTTTCATCAGCGAAAATGTCAGTCACAGCTCTTGTGACAGTGGAACAGATGGCTTCCGTTTGATACGCACAACTAGCAGCGTCTAGGTTCACGCCCAAGTTGATTGGATGTATGAATAAGGCAAGGACACATAGAAGAACATTGCAAAAATTCACAAAAATTGCTAGTTTCCAAGTAAGAACAACGAGAGATCAGCATTTGTCAAAGTTCATGTCAGTAGTCAGACAAGTGTGATTAGACGGAGAACGATGCACTGTGCCGAGAACTAACTACAAGTTTGCACCGTGTGCTCTTCTGCGCACGTTTTGTTACGGAGACCTCGAACATCCCATTATTTTGCACTTAGTAGCGATAACAAGATATGAATATCATCTTTTTTTAGCAACTTGTAAAGTTTAGATGAGATGGAATGAGTCGCAATCTGAGAGTGTGACTGCAGCCCATAGGATGGTATCTTAGAAGACTTCACCTCATAATAACATGCGCTTAATATCATGTTACATGTATTTTTATTGAAAGGATCGGTAAAACTTGTGTGACGCTCGACTGGTGATTTTGCTGTAGATTTTATTAGTAATGGTTGCGATTGTATACAAGGAAATTTGAGCAAGCATTGGATACCATCATTCGTGCTTTCAAGGATGTCACACAACACTACGTCAACAAATGGCCTTGAAGTGAACAGACAGGGATGAGTCACAATCTTTGCAAGCTGAGTCCATTTTCCACTAATTAACAATCTGATTGCCTCCGCTGCAATTTTTAACTAGCACCAAGCATCCATCTAGACATGAATAATGAACTGATAACCCCTTAATCTCGGAAAACAGACCTGCATTGTCCTGCCGGTTGAACCTCAAACATCAACAGAAAAATGAGCTGGTTTCCCACTAGAAATGGATCCCAAGCCTTGCCAGCGTCTCGCCACCGAAAATAAAAAGTCACAGTAGACCATCCAATTAACAGTAATTCAGAATGCAGCAGATCATTCCACTCGCGGATGATTCTTAGGGGCAACCGTTTTAAATGCTTATACTCGACTTCGATGTTTACGATGTTGACAGAATCATCACTGATCGATCTTATCTACTCCCGAACATTCCTGCATGCACATGGACGTTGTCAATGGACCAAATTTTGCAAACCTGATTGAATGTGTTACACTGAAAGGTTGGCATTATGATCTTCGTTGACGTCTAGAAACTTGTTAAGCAATCTGACGGAATTGTAAGTGGAGGCACATCACACAAGAATCTCGATTAGATAGGATTAGGGCGTACATTTGTGATTGAATTCACAGGTTCAATGGTGACCTCCTCCTCCTCCCCCTCCCCCGCCGCCACCGCCACCGCCACCGCCTCCACCTCCACCTCCACCTCCGCCACCCCCTCCTCCCCCGCCTCCTCCGCCGCCACCTCCTCCTCCTCCTCCTCGATGATATCCTCCAGGTCCATGCCCATAGCCAGATCCGTCTCCATAACCAGAACCTGGGTCATTTCCATAGCCTGCTCCATTTCCGTAGCCCGAACCATTTCCATAACATGATCCGTTTCCATTGCCGGGCCAGTTGTTGTACCCACCATTGTTGTGTCCACCACGGTCGCAGCTATCACAACCTCCTCCCCCATACCATTTTTCAGATGCCGCAAGCTTTCTCGATTTTGGATTCTGCAGACCACAGAGACCGGATCCAGCTCAGAGATTAATATTCATGGGTCATGGGTATTGTAAAACATTCAAAGTGCCTCGACTTCGAACAGTGCGCGAACAAAATCACTCCCGCTGAAAGGCATTAATCACAAGAATAGGTGCCACACCTGATGTGAATCGGTCGCATGCAAAAGAATGGGATAGTTCTTATTGCCTATCTGAATAAAACTTAATCGATTGGATTTCAGTCTAAACCACAAGTTGTTCATTTTCATTGCTGAGGATTTATTTCGGTTAGTATCACTGCGATGACAAAGCTGATTCTGAAATGTCAGCTGAAATGTAGTTGCTATCATGAGTCTAACTTTTGTGTATCAATGATCTGTGGAGGAATCTTCAAGAGACATCCACAAGAATTAGTTGAACTACAACCTTGCAAGGTATAGGAAACTTGCCCTGATGCCGATCGCAGCTTGCGCAGGATTATCCATAAGGTGAGGCCTGGCCAACACGGGAAGAATAAGAGCCTGGATAATGAAAAGTGCAATAAGAACAAAAAAGACGTCTCCAAACAACTTAGTAGTCGCCATCGCTGCACGATGTAACGTTGAAGCGACGCAGTAGAGTTATAGCTCACCATGCTGATATATATATATATATATATATATATATAGAACTAGAAATGCACAGAACCAACTGCTTCTGAACGCAGTACATGTGAAACTGCAACAGTATTTCAAAGTTATCAAATCAACTTAGACCTTTGCAGTTCATCGAGAGCTTGTGCTTAAACTCTGCAAGTTAAGGGAGAAATATTACTCCCTAAGCCAATTGAGTAGCTGCAGGAATCCGAACAGCTTGGCGTCTTAATGCTCTGGTTCGTACAGTACCGTGATGTTAGGTTTTCTTCTGTACCGGAATGAACCGCCCCATCGCAAGGATTTTATCCAGACCACCCACCTCCGCCGTGGATACATCTCCTTCTATGCAAATTATTATGCAGTTGCAACAACCCTGGAAAGCATGAAATCAGATTTTACGGCCAACGCTTGTCGCAACACATGTCTAGGCGGCAGTTTTAAATTCATATGCAACATGTGAAAAATGTGTGGAGATTGCACACTTTTGGAACTGTGTACTAATTCTCTAACATGGCAGTGGTGTCAACCGATTTTTGAGCCAATTTCCACCTTAAACCTTAAAGCCTGTTACATGGCTTCTAAAACCCTGCAGCTACATCACGAACCTGTAGAACCACATGCAGGGTCTAGGATTGTGGGTATTTGGTGAAACTAAGCATAGCTGGAATGGCTGAAACATCGAATTAATCCACTAGTTACCGGCGCGGCACACGCCATTAAATTGAGAATTTGCATCATTTGCTACTGAGTTCCGTCAATTGTCCGGAAAAGAAATTACAGCAGCGACCGTTTCATCAAAAGCAATCAGTTCCTGTGTATGGTCCCAATAGTTGCGTGACAGGATGATGTAACAGACAGAAAATTATGAGAGACACGCATTTATGGGGAAACCTGGGATGTTAGCATGATTCAAGGTCTGAATTAGGACTTCATTACCTGCATCGCTGCCTTAACTGCCGCAACGCAGCAGGGGAGCATCTCCCTCTTTACCATCTATTTTCAAGCTGAAACCACGTTGTTTATTTTCCGAATAATTCTTGAAATAATTAATGAATGACAAAACCCACAAGACTAGTCTCACTGAGATTGAATGCACAAGCTTCCAATTCCTTGTCCATTACCACATGGAAAGACTAAGGTTTTGAGGTGCAACTGGCACAAAATCTGGCTATCTTGAAGCAAATTGAGTGTGTCTGAACAATGACTTTTTGATGCTAAAACTAAAAGAGAACCAATTTGGAGAATATCTTTCAGCTACTTTCTTGTAATTATGTACGTTGACACATCCCAAAAATTGTGAACCTATTCAAGATTCATACCATCCGCCAAGCAAAGACTGCGGGGGGCACGTGAACATTTGCAAAGCTAAGCTTGCTGGCGTATATGATGGCATATTTTGTCAGGCGTCATCGTGGAATGCAAGTCGTTAGAGTGCAACAAATCGTCCAGCCATATTCTCTCTTTCATGCTCATGAATCAAGCGTTTCTTAAAATGGACGGATCTTTCAAGTAACAAATCCGAGACGAATCCAGTAGGAGTAATGACTTCTCGTTTTACAAAACTAGATCCTACTTGCTTATTAAGGTATCAGCAATACATGTCTCTTACGGAGCTTATAGAGACATATACTATCTTCACTTGAGCATCAAAGATTCAGTAAAGAATGGTGGCTTTTTAAACTAGGTTGACTCATTCGTCGATGCAGAAACGGCACTCGTGAGGCACTTCTACATGAAGGCCAGGACAGATGGAACTATCGAAACAGCCACTTATTCTCTGGAGGAAAATTATATTTAAAATGAAATGAAATAAAATAAAAAGAAGCAGACTATCAAAATGTGCACAATCATAGTGCTGTGACTTCACCTGGTAGATTTTCCTGGCAGGCCTCCTACGACATGTTAGCCTAAGGAATATCCGGACAAACTTCCAACAACAAATTCTCCCCCATCCTTCGCCATTTTACCTCCTCTGCCGTGCTGAAGCAGTGGAGGGAAGAGCAGGTCCTCACCACCCCCAGCTCATCAGCTCTGAGCCTTCCGCCTCTCGTTCTCCACCAAGGTACAGAAACACCCACGCTTGCAGCTTGCGGACTTTGGATAATCCTGTCAGCAAGGATTGACAACGCCAGGTCCACGATAAGAGGCATCCGAGGAGATTACCTAGTTTCTGAGGGGAAGGAGGTGGGGAAACCCGACGACAGCTTGGTCTCCATGAGGAGGCAGTAGGATTGGTCCCGAAACCCCGAGCAAAACCCGCGGCCCCACAAGATTTGCAAAGGCAATTCCGCTCGAAGCCGGCATGCTTCACCTGAAGGTTGACCACCAATTCGTGAGCGTTCACGCTGCAATTAGCAGCGTGTCATCGTTTGCCCAATGTGGGAAAAGTGCGTCACTCGAAGCTGATCGTTCCCCGACCCAATCGCACTTTTGCCTCGCAACCTCTTTGTCCCTGCCGATTTTTAAAGCTTTGTTTGATTACTAGCTTGATTGGTTCGGTGTGAAACCAACATTTGGTCGAAAGGAAAAGTTGCACAGCAATAATCGCGATAGCCCACGCATATCCTCCGCATTGTGCAAGCAATTGCGACCTTTTTCTTTCACTTTTTATATAATTTTCTTTGAGTTTGGGTTTGTCTTTTTCACATTTCGGTATGTACAATGTTCGCTTTCCGTAATCAGTTAAAAATGCTTAAATTTGTTGTCGCGTTTTGAAATCCAACTGCATATGGTTTTATAACACCTGTTCATTGCATTCAATTGCGCTCCATGTGTGAGGTCTATTTCATGGTCCTACAAGCTTATAGCCTTTTCTCCCTCACTTGTGATATATATATATATATATATATATATAGACACATACACATAAATCCTAGTGGAAATTTGTGCAATTGAGTATGCAAACAATGTTCATAACTACATAAGTCTTCTACAACAATTCTTAAAAACATAAGTTAAAAACATATACATATAATAATTCTACATATGGTCAACACCATAGAAATGGAGTTTTCTTATCCACTTCTACATCAGAAACACCATAAATATTGTAATCATTACACTTCTACATTACACTTTTTCTTTTAGGCTCTGTATTAAAAGATACTTCCAGAGCATAAAAAATATATTTTGCTTTTGGTTTTCACGTTTTTGTGTGTATATATATATATATATATATATATAAGTATATGTGTGTATGGTTCCAGTGCCATAGCACTTTAAGGCAAAATTAGTACATGAATCAGATTTTTGTAAAACTTTTTAAGAAATTATCATAATCTACCTTTTATGAAACAATACAATATTCGTGTACATTGCATGTTATTCCTCTTTTAATACAGTCACCTCATGGATTCTAATTACGAAATTGAAAACGAAGTAGAACTGTGTTTACAGCTTTATTTCACTGTTTGAATTTGACAGACAGAATTGGTTGAACATTAGCACAATTATTCTTTACCTTGAATGGAGAATCGAAACGGACCCATACATCAAAGTGGTCCTTCGTTAAGTCTTCGTTAACCTGCTGTGACAGTTGCGTATTGTAATTAGCACCTGAATCTCAAGGGCTCGGGGCCGCGAATATGTCTCGGGCCAAACTTTTGAGCCGCTACTGGTTGATTTCCTTCATAACAGACCATGACGAATTTGTGGAAGAAAAAATTGCTCTATTCCACGATTCGTCAACATCCAGTGACGTCACTACCTCTGCCGCCCCTCTGTTCAACGTTGCTCTATTCCCCCTTGCATCTGCCTTCGTTGTCTGTGCACCTGTTTCGCCTTCGCTAGATATGGCTGACACCACGGATTCCGTCCGCAATTCCTCCTGTAACTAGATTTGGAATCTTGCTTAGTGGCCATCACAACAGTAAATGCGTTTCACCTCCTTGCTATGAGGAACATGGATTTTTTTCCGCTGTACTATTCCTGTGCGAAAATCTTCATCAGTATTTTTACCTAACCGTGCCCGTTCGCAGGGCCACAGAGGGTAAGCTTCTCTCTCCCCTTCCTCGGGCTCTCTGCACTCTGACCGGTTCTACTTGCGGAGGACAGCATGCTCGGTGCAGAATTCCCAAGTCTGACTGTGCAGTCGACAGGGCGAGAGACTATAATTAGTGGCCCCCCCGTTACCCAGTTGGACTGGGCGGGAAAGATGCTTCTATGCCTTTGAATTCCCTCCTTTTCCTTGGCGACCACGAGATGCCAGAAAACATCTCAGTTGGCATCTGCGCTTGAGTTACTTGTGAGTTGGTGCAAATGACACAGAGCCTCCCACAAAAACCCCCGACCCCCAATAAATATAATATATATTTTTGCCCCCCAATAAATGTAATATATATTTTTGTATGTGCGTGTGCACACTCACGCAAGGAATTATGTACTTGCAGGGAATATGTAACTTTTATATACAATTGTATATTATTATTATTAAAAAAAATAATATTGTAATTGATATTCTTTTTGAAAGTTCCAAATCATGATGTCTTTCCTACGTAAAGTTAAAACCAAATTTTTACTGAGTTCATGAAGCATTCATATTACCATATTACTTCCTTTGCATATAATATGTTGAAGAGAAACATGATTTAGTTAGGATACCACAGAATGGAAGGAGAGAAGGGTGAAGAAAAGGGAAAAATATGAATAAATAAATTAATTAATATGGGAGAATATTAAATCTGTCCACTTAAATTCACCCACCATATGATTATGCAATTTGAAATTGTTTCAAGACTTCTTCAGCCCGACCCCAATTCCTTCAAGTCTTTGTGCTGCCATGGTGAGTTGATTTAAGATTTAGGTGGGTGGACTTACTATTCCCCTTTCTATATTCACTAAAGTTGGAAGTCTCTGTTTTGTCTGATTAATAGAATGTAATTTTTTATTTTATTTTTACGTATAATAATACAATACATAATAAAAACCAAGAATATAAACATTATAATTTAATATAAAATTAAGTTATTTAATTAATATTTCATAAAAAATATCCATAAAAAATTATATTCTTAAAAATTATATATATATATATATATAATGAAAATTTGATAGAAAATGATATTAATTTGCAACAGTAAAAAAACTTAAAATTTTGGTTTATGATGTAATTTTATAATTTTTAATTATAAAAATAAATTCTCATCATATTTATATAAATATTATTATTATTATAAATTATCAATGTATAGAATAATAAAAAACTAAAAAATTAAAAATTAAAAATTATACATTCATATTTTATGAATACCATACAAAAATTAACACTATATATTATTAAGGACATAACTCTTAAAGAATTGAAAGTTCAATGCACTCTTATGTCATTTGAAAAGACTAGATAATCACTCAAAGATAATATAATATTAAATTAGAATGATTATTGCCAAAAACAAGAAGACTAAGAAGACTTGAAACAAGACTAAGGACTAAAAAAGCATTATTAAGAGTGAAGAAGACTTCACTCTTGTCTCTATATATACTCTTTAACTAAAAGCTATATAACAATGTTTTATACGACCTCCAACACGTGTTGACTTGGCTAGTTACATGTCTTATCTTACAAGACAAGTTTTCTATATGTGCACTACATGGTTAGCTTGTCCTCTAAGCTACCAATACATATAACATATGACTAATTTCATGACTAAGTTTCTAACCTATCAATTAACTACAAACATGTATAAAGTCAAAGCAATGTTTATAGAGCTTCTAAGAAGTTTATCTAGAAGATATTATAAATTAATCTATTTTCACTTAATTTTACTTAATCATATAGGTAATTATTGAAGTAAATATGTATATCCATGACATATATATATCTATTTTTATGACCTTTATTTTTTTATTTTTTTGTTTTGTTCTTTTTGTTTTGTTTTTTTTGACACACCAAAGGAATGAATCTTTTGGATAAGAACTTCCTGTCACGGCCATAATCATGTAAGCTAATAATTACATATAGAAATAGGTAGAAGTAAGTAAAGTAGATAAAAGTAAGTTAATTCTATAATATTTAATATAGAAGCTTCCTAGAAACTTCCTAGACGCTGCTTTGACTTCATAGGTGTCTTTAATTGACTTTTTGGATTAGAAACGTGGTCAACAAGTTGGCCATGTGCCACACATGTTGTTAGCTTGAAGATCAAATTAACTATGTGGCCCACACATAGAAAAACTTGCCTTGTAAGTCAAGGCATGTGTCCTACAAAGTCAACACATATTGGAGGTCCTATAGAACGTCACCACGTAGCCCCTAGTTAGATAGTATATATAGAGACAAGAGTGAAGGCTTCTTCACTCTTGTCAACTCCTTTCTTGCTTCTAGTCTAGGTTCAAGAGTCTTTAGTTTCTTGTCTTGTGGCAATAGCCATTCCAGTTTCCTTTTAATATACCTACTTGTTTATATTTTGACTTATTATATCGAGATAGCCTTTTTGTGTATATTTTCCCTCATCGTGTCTTTGTCCTTGACAGATTGACAAGAGTACACTTACAATATCAGAGCTTTGTTTTTCTTGAGTGAGAGTGGATTACGCCTTTCTCTTGACAAGACATAAGCGTATTAAAAGTTTGCAGATTACCCACTTCTAAACTGATATTGTTCTTAGTATCTTCTTTGTTATCAAGTCTTTCTTTTCTTTTGTCTTGAGCAGTATCAAACAAATTTTTCTTCTTAGTGTCATTATGGCAGAGCTTGTTGAAATGAAGAGTGCAATGGCACAAATGCAAGAGCAAATGAGGGAGTTAATGCTTGCGATGCATCAACTCAACTCACCAACACATGAAAGAACAAGAATAGCAAAAAGTGGAGATATAAAGATGATCGGAGCTGCTTCAACATCTACAAGAAATCACGTTCCTTCTCCAATTGTACAACACCCTGTAAGCACTAGAGAACCAAGAATTGCCTTATCCGAGAAATTTGATGGTACGAGATCTAAGTTTCGAGGGTTCATCAATCAAGTACAATTGGTAATTGAACTTCAACCGCAAAGCTATCCAACTCCAAGATCACAAGTCAGGTTTATTGGCACTCTACTTTCTGGTTCTGTATTATCGTGGTTTTCGTCTTTTCTTGAACAACGAAATCCAATATTGGACAATTTAGAAGCTTTTTTGGCGGAGTTTTGTTCTATGTATGGTGAACACGATGCAACTCGTGTTGCAACAAATAAGATCCGAATTCTGCGACAAGGAAATCGTTCAGTAACAGTATATGCTTCACAATTTTGACAACTTGTAATTGACATCAAGTGGGATGATGCTGCGCTCATCAGTCAATTTCTTTATGGATTGCAATACGAAGTAAAGAAATTGATGCTCAACTTACCTGATCCTCAAACTTTGAGTCAAGCAATCGATTTTACGGTAAAATGTGATAATCGACTTTTCGAATTTCGATCTGAGAATCATTCACGGGAACCTCAACGTTATTACTCAATGGCAACATCA